GCATAAGACAGTGCAAATTATTTCTGTGACAGTCTTTTGAAGTGTGTAAAGCTCCATTTTATCCCATATTGTCAAAATATTGGGGGGGATGATTCAATGGACCATCCCCCCCTTGTCAAATATTGGGGGGGATATATCCCCTCCATCCCCCCCGGGATCTACGCCTATGTTATGGAATACCCCTCCCCACACACACACTAACGTGTTCTGCCGCCATTGGTCGGTTATAGGCCTAATAGAAAGTAGATTGAAGCCAATAAGTATCAGCAAAATATATTTGAGTCTTTTTTCTATTATAAATAGACAACATCGGAAACGGCAATAAATTAAAATTCGGTATTTTATAGCATGGATTCGAGATTCAAGATTTTATTTGTTTTTATTATCATATAAAATGTACTTAGGCCTATATGAAGTCAGTGTTTCACTGAGTTGATAGACAAAAAAGTTATTCAAACAAAACTATAAAAAACATGATTTAATGTATATTGTAAATGTATTTAAATATTTGCTAGTGAAAATTGTATTATTTCATTAATGTGTTTACATCATACGAATTAAACGTTGTTTTTAAGATTGGTGTTTTTATATTTTTATCTCCAAATTTCAATGTGTTTGTGAAAAACTTTATTGGATATTTATCAACTTTTATAATACGATCTTAATTTACTTGTTGCTGCTCAATTAACTTAATAATTATTGTGTTGTCGAAATATTTAATAGATGATAAGTAGATGATTTAATAGATGTAATGTAGTTATAAGAAAATACAAAATAAATTAAAATCAAATTAAATTCTTCCGTGTTGAACATAATTTAAAACAGAGATTAATAGATATGTCTATACTGCCCTCTGGACATTGTAGGCGTGAGGAGTTCCCTTGCAACTGTAAACATACAGGCGAGCAAACGTGTGAATTGTTTTGCGACTCATCACACTGCCTGAGAGGGTGAAAATAGAACTTCGAGAGGCCGTCTCGAGTTTCATTCTGGATTCCAAACATAGCATGGATTTTTCTGACTTTCTGTAGCAGAGCAAACGATTCTGCAGTGCGTAAACACAGTCTATACCCGTAGGATTTTCTCAAAGGTTCGGATTAAAAACAATATTACGAGCTGTTCATATTGTGGTCCTGAATGGCAGAATCTAAACCCAGGTGGTGGTGATCCAGAGAGTGCTAGGCTTAACGATGGCAGCCACAGCGTCTAGTGGTGGGACCACTGGGGAAAGTACTGAAGATGAGACCGCGTTTTTAAGAACAGTAAGTTATTCACCTTCATAATTATTTATCAGATCAAATCGGTGTTGATATCTTGTTACTAAAGTAGCAGCAACAGTACCTAGCCCTTACTAATTAGGTCTTATGAATGATGAAAATGACAAAAAAAATGTATAACTACTATTAAAGTATCTGCCCGAGCATCCATGTTAAGTTCACAATGAAATTTTAAAAGTATGGTAAACAATTGTGGCTAATTGAGAGTGTAGAAGATTTTATGAAGGTAGAATTTACTGAAATTGATTTATTTTTATTTTTTTCAAAGTGTTATATATTTTGTATTTTTTTTTTAAATTATAGGGTTATTTATTCATGATACTGAGGCTAGTATTTAACTTTTGCATTTGCATGAAAGTATGAAAAATTCATTATTAGTCTATAAAATCTGGTGCAATTTGCACTGATATATATTGAAGTTTGGCATATGAAAGTATAAGGTGAAATATAAAATTGAGCCAGTCTAAATTTGTTTTGAAATTGTCTAAAGGTTGCATAAACGCAATAATAAATTCTAACGATGCCACTGCATGTTTGAATTTTCATCTTTCTGGGCAATAACAGGCTACTCCGGGCAATTCTCTAGTACCCATTGATACATTGGTAGAATGAAGCAATGTAGATTAAATGCCTTGCTCAAGGTCACAAGCGAAATGCACAGCAAAAGGATTGAAACCAAGAACTCAACGTTGGGAAGCCAAACCATTCCCATTCATGCATCAAACCATTTGTATAGTACTGTAAAATTATCCGTTGTATACAGATGGTATTTTCTGGTACGCTAGGCCCCTATCATAATTATGCCTGAAGACGGGTGCTAAAAGTAAACAACACTATCATTGTTGTGATTTTGACTGCTTCTTGTCTGTTGATATTTCCACCTTTTGAAAAAGACAAATAGGTAGAATACATCTAGGATATTGATTAATAAATTATAGGGGTGTCGGTCTGACATTCCAAAGCTCATTTTGTTTTTGTTACCAATACAATTTGCTAAAGAATTTTTATACAGTTTTTCGAGCTAAAACACCTAAACAATAATCATTCAATTTTGCATTGATTATTTTGTATATTTAAATAATTGGCTTTCAATTAAAAGTTAGATTAAGAAAATATTTTCATCAGTAATTAATAGATATATTATTATTATTTGAAGGTTTGCATGGCAAAGTAATAATATATATTAATGCCTGTGGTACACCAGATAGATTGTTCTGATATTAAATGTTGTTGGTATAAATAATGCCATCCTCTATTTGCAAGTTAGACATATTTACTGTACCTTTAAGTATTTAAAAATTAACTCATATTACCTTATTTTACTAATCAACACCCCTCAGTTATTTATCAAGGCCACTAATAAATGTTGTTCCCCGTCAGGCCCCCCCTCTCCCATGTCAATACCAGATACGCCAGATAGATGCATCTGCTTAAATAATTAGTGAAACATTGTAAACTCTATTAAGTAAAATAATATAGTAATACTGAAGATTTTGTATCGAACCAATTCAAATCAAAGGTGCAGCAATTGAAGAATACTCCAAACTAAAAAAAGCATCAAAAGCAAAAATGTTGAGATTTTTTGATTAGAACTAAGATAAGATAATTCAAATTAATTGATTATTAAAAATTATCAGCTCAAAACATTTATTTTCTATTTCCGTATGAAATAATAATAATAATAATAATATATTCCATATGAAGAATAATATTCCGTATGAATAATAATAATTATAATAATAGTAATAATAATATGTAGGTTTATAACATAGCACCCTATAATAATCTCTCAGAGCAAAATAGAAACTGCTGAGCTTGCATCTCCATTTCTAGAGCCATAAATTATAATTTCACCCATCTAACAAGCTACAATAATTATTTTACTGCCATATTTTATAAAGTAGAAAACTCATTGGAACAGAAGGACATCCCATTTTAGTACAGCAAGGTGGTAACTGTTATTATTATTGTAATTATTTCATCGCATAAATTTTTATTATAGCACAAGCTTTGCTCAAATTTCCATATTTAATTTTACATGGTAATATAAATTACTAAGCCTTTAAGGTTATTTACTTCTTCACATCTCAAATTTATTTTTGCAGGTAATAGGTTGTTGAATGTAGCCAGGACCGTCCTGCTTGAGTTTTCTTCAATTTAAAAAAAAAAATAAAATCGAAGGACAAAGATTAAAATGGGTCCACAAATATTTAGTTTTTACCATTGTGGTATGACATTTATTCAGAAAAATTTCACAACAAATTACATTACAAATTATTTACTGAATGCAAGGAAACACATCAATATTTTAATTTTTAAATTTGGGATTGCCCACAATTGCCGGCAACTCCCGGGAGGGGAAATGCCTCAGTGATCATCACGTCACAGTAATAATACTGTGCGCCCTCAGATACCAAGACATCTCTGACAGTGCACTACCCCGGAAGGTGCCAGCGATCATGGACTACTTATGTGTAAGCTGTGTCTGCTGCGTCTAAGTTATATTAGATTTACACATAAAATGGTACCAGTTTGTTAAAGTGGTGCACATTATTCAGTTCGTACGCATTGAATGCATCCGCATTTTAGAAGATGGGTCCACATTAGTCTACATTTACTTGATTTTACATTAAAAATATGTCATCCTAAGTTATTTAACTTATGTTTTCCTTTATAAATACTTTCACCTTTTTATGAGTTTTCAAAATAATGTGCTCCTTCCATTAAACTTCCTATGTATTGAGTCTGACGATAGATAAAAAAAGAGATCTTATGCAGTGCATTAGTGTACATTCTATTAATTGTAAGTTTTTTTTATACATCAACAACGTTGGTCTGGTGACATTTGTCTTTTTGACTTTTCAACCAGTACTAACAGACCCTGGAGATTTAAAAAAACAATTTGATTAATGTCTATTCATCATTGGTACATCTTTCTGTATGATGGAGTCATTTGCATGTCTTAAGAATTTATCATTATTACTTAGTCGATTACAAGTTCTTATACACTGCTAAAGTATTACACCAAATAAAATTATGAAATATGGGAAGAGAACGAAAGTCTCAGAGGGGGTTTAAGATTACCAAAAGAACATCATTACCAATGGGTATTGCAATTTGATTGATATGTTTCTGCCTTGTGGTTGCCTTAAAGCCTTTTGTGTAGTACTTAGCCCTAACGGTTAGCAGTATTGCGATAAATAACATACACGCTCATCCTTGCGTTCATATAAGAAAATCTTCGATCCAGATATCATGAAGATGATGGTGGGATCACGGCCAATAGGAAATGCGTACGTGTGATTGGCTAATGGTAGAAACGAGCTCAGCCTGCTAAACGATTGTGCTCACTAGCCCTTAGCGAATCCAGGTCCCTTCATTGCGCTTGCGCATAAAATAACAAGCCAACACATCAATTACAATAAATAATAGACCAAGAAGTTTGGAGAAAGCAGCCTAAAAGTTCTTGTAAACATGTAAAGGTGCCTAAAAACACTTATTTCAAAGAAAAAAACATCAACATAATATTAATAAGTATCAACAAAATAGGTATGGAGTTTAATAGAAAGAAAAGTGTTAACAAACAAAAAGGATGAAAGACGGATTTTTTCGGGATTCAGAAATAACAGATAATTTATTTTCTATTAATTTTTTTAGACATTAAAAAATTAAAAATGATAAATATAAAATTTTAAAAGAACCCTCGCTGCTTAGAGAACATTTGTCTGAAGTTTCAACCAACAAACTAATGAAAGTTCATCAAGCGTTTGAGAGTAAAAAACCCTTACTGCTATTATTTTGTTGCCCCTAGTAGTACTGTAGTTCAAATCATGAGACACAGTAAATAATTTGTGAGATAAAAGCATTTTGTTGGAATCTTAGAGAGCGTAATTGTACAACAACAAATGGTAATTGAAACAAAACAATTCTTGTGGACATTGAACCTTTGTTGTAAATGCCCTAATGTGTGGTACAGTAGGAACAGAATTGCGTACCTGTTAAAACATAATTTTTAATAAGAGAAAGTAGAATTTATGAATAAATTTTGTAATGTGAGTGGGAAACAGATGTCTGTACATTTAATTATGAAAGAGACTATTCTATCATAGAATTATTGCTGGTGAATTTGAATATTGCAATGCATGATTCAGGAAAAATAAACAACAATTGATTTATGAATGTGGTTTATTGAATTTCAACAAAGAATAATAATTATAAGAAATGGAGCATAGATAATATACATAGATAAATTCAGAAAATGTTTTCATTGGGTACAGTAAAGCAGAGTTACCAATATTATCTAGCTGAATTACATACTCAAGTATCTTGTGTATAAGCTCTTTTACACCCAATGTTAACATCCAGCATTTTTCTATGCAAAAGTTTGTGGTATGATTTAAATGAGTACCTCAGCTGACCTTTAAGCCAACAAATTTTCTTGTAATAAATTTTGTTTTTAAGAATTACATTTGTCAAGTCAATCACTATAAAATAGGCTTGAAAATACTCCCAAACCCAGAGAAAGCACCAAAGAATCGACCCTGGGATGATTTTTGGTCAGTTCTATCTTCTCACTATAGCCCCTGGTCAAAATGTGATCAAATCACACAGCTACAAAAGCAATGGTGATGGTTGACGGTTCACTGTATACGGTCTAAAGTGGGTGGTGTGGGATGGGGGGTGGCGGTGGGAAGATGCCCACTGGTAAGATGAATGGGAACACACAAAAATCTGCTTAGAAATATATATTTTCTGCCAAAAAGGGGGGGCCCCTGTTTCCGCCGGCCATGATGTTGACACTCAACATTATCACGCTTGGCGTAGGACTCACAGTGTCTAATACTATCTTGGTGGCTGGTACAGAACCTGCTTACCTTTTTAGTAATACTGCCTAACTGGTTTGCCCTAAACAGCCAAATATTTTATATCATATTGTCTCTATAGTAATTGATGACAATTTTTGAATGGTAATGATGAATATCAAG